TTTTTCATCTGTCCCACTTGCGTATATTTGGTTATGTTGCCTATATTCATATTAAGTCTGATAATAGGACCAAACTTGATCTGAAGTCTCGAAAGTGTCTATTTATAGGCAAAAGCAGTGATAACTATGGGTATAGGTTTCGGGATAATGAAAATCAAAAGGTTGTTAGGAGTATAGATGTGGTATTTAATGAGTCTATTATGTATAAATACCTACTTAAGAAAAGAGTTGACCAATTCGATATTGTCGATTTCAAAAAATAACTAATAGGGATATCCTAAAATCTTAAATTATTGAAACACAACCAATTTGTCAGACAGACCCACAAACTCTTCCCCTAAGGAGATTTTCTAGCGATCGTAGATCTGGAGTGCCTTATTCATCATCCTTGCATTATTTATTGTTAACTGACAGTGGTGAACTAGAATGTTTTAAGGAAGCATTGTAGGTTGATACCAAGGAAGAGTGGGAGAGTGCTATGAATGATGAGATGGAGTCACTTTCTGTAAACCATAAATGGGAGCTAGTTCCACTCCCTAAAGATAAATCAGCCTTACACAACAGATGGGTTTACAGACTAAATGAATAACTTGATGGAAACAAACGTTACAAGGCGAGGTTAGTAGTGAAGGGATTTTAATAGAAGGCAGGCATCGACTACACATAAATTTTTCTCCCGTTGTGAAGATTTCTAACATTAGGTCTGTCCTTAGTATTATGGCGGTTGAGGAATTGTATATAGAGTAGTTGGATGTTAGGACTCTTTTTTTCAACGGTGACTTAAATGAGGATATTTAAATGCACCGACCACAAAGGTATGTTGTGATAGGAAATGAGAATCTGGTTTCTAAACTCAAGAAGAGCTTGTATGGGAACAGGCTCCATAGGTATGTTGTGATAGGAAATGAGAATCTGGTTTGTAAACTCAAGAAGAGCTTGTATGGGAACAGGCTCCAAGATAGTGGTACAAAAATTTGACAATTTTATGTCTAATGTTGATTTTCATATTGTCATGCTTATTAATGTTGTTATTTTAAGAATACTAATACATTTTATCTCATACATCTTTTGTTTAAAGATGATATGCATGTTATATATTCAAACATGGATGATATTTTGAATATCAAGGCACAACTATCCAAAGAATTGGCAATAAAGGATTTGGGTATTGAAAAGCGAATACTAGGTATGTAAATTAGCAGGGATAGAGTGAACATAAAGCTAATGTTATCAAAATTTGAGCATGTTGAAAAGGTCCTTAAGAGGTTTAAAATGGATGGTGCTAGTTAGCACATCTCTAGCAAGTCATTTTAAACGAGGAGCGTGGATACATGGCTAGAGTGCCTTATGCATCAGCTGTAGGGAGCTTGATGTAAACTATGGTCTGTATAAGCCAGACATCGAAAATGCAGTGGGAGTTATCAGTAGATTTATGGGCAATCCAGGAAAGCAGCATTTGCAAGCAATCACGTGGATTTTAAGGTATCATAGCGGTACGGTAGACTTGACTTTATGACATAGTAGCCAAAAATTATGCAGGGGATTGATATTGTTGACAGCCAGGAAGAGCACTGCATATATGTTTTTACTCCGGATAGTGCCATAGTCAGTTGGGTCTCCCAGTTATAGAAAATTGTGACAATCTCCATGACTGAGGCAGAGTACGTAGCAGCCACAAAGTTGTGCAATGAATGGTTTGGTTAAAAAAATTCATGAAAGAGTTGGGTAAAGAGTAAAAGACTTGCACATTATTCAGTGACAGCTAGAGTGCAATCCATCTTGTAAGGAACTCAGTTTTTCACTCAAAAATCAACCGTATAGATGTGAAATACCACTTTATTCGCTCACGTTTGGAGGATGGACAATTCAAATTGGAAAAAAATCACACAAGAGATAATCCGGCAAATATGGTGACAAAGGTGGTTACAGTTGAAAAGCTAAAGATATGTTCAACTTCTATTGCTCTTCAAGCCTGAAAGATGGGAAAGTCTCACACTAGTTTGTTGTGGTGGATGAAGGTATCAGTGTAACAGATCAGTCTCCAAGTGGGAGATTGTTGGGTTTGTGGAGTGATTGTTTGAGGGTGAAATCCTAGGTCATTTAATTTGGGAAACCAAAAAGGGCAAAATTATTTTTGGATACTTAAGGTATTATGTGTTGTAATCCTGTTTATTTTGTTGTTGACTAAACAGCTGCGTGGGTGAGAGGACATGCAATCACATCACTATATCCTCCATTTTGTGAGAAATAGTGAAACAAGCCGAGAACTTAGATCGGGATGGTAATGGGGTGGGTATGGAGCGAATTTGCCTAAATCCGTACCTGCCCCGTTTAATTATGGACAAATCTATACCCACCCATATCCGCAACGGTTTTAATTTCACAATCTAAACTAGCCCCGTTAAGAGATGAGTGTGCCAGTGCCAGCCCTGTCCCGCCCCGCCCCGTTTTGTTTTTTTTTTTTTTTTCCTATTGTTGGCACCAAAACTTGGTAGCCACTTCAGTAGCGACGTGGACCAATGGGAAGCCGGTAAATGTTGAGCATGTCCAAGAATGGTCGGCCAATGGAGAAATAGTAGGAGAAGATTTAGGAGGATATCTATATATTCAGCCACCTCACCAAAAGAGTTGTTACTAAACAACCGAGACTTGTGTTAATTTCAAAAGGAAATTTCATTAGAAATAGAACATTGGGAGAGGTTGGCTAAGGTGACATAATTAAGTTCCTAAAAAATAGGGATTTAGTTATGAGAAAGGAAATTGAATCCTTATGGAAATGAAATTCAAAAAGAAGGGGCAGCCACGTGAGTGTATGGGTCAAGGCTATAAATGGTTTTCCAGCCATTTAAGGGAAATATTTCAGTCAAGCTTGAAGAAAGAAGTTGCTAAAAATCAGCAACTTACTAGCAATCTTCCAGCAGCTTTCTACCGACTTCTTAGCAATCAATATTTTCTTCAACAAAGGTATTCTATTTGAAGCAAGACGAAACAAGAGTAGAAGAGACGTGAAAGACTACTGGAATACGACTTATTTTCAGCAACAAAGTAAAGCAAATCAAGGAAAAGAGAGATTTCAGTAAAGACTTTCCCATTGAAACTGGAGCATCGATATTGAAGGCGAGGAATGTTGGCCGTAGCTCAGTTTGAATTTCAAAAGAAAATGATTGAAGCAAAAGAGATTTTCTAGCAATTAATTGGGAAAGTAAGTTGAGATAGAACTTCTATAAATAGAAGTATTGTACTCCATTTCCAATTCGTCCAGCACCACCACAAAACATGCATTTCAACTAAAATGTTTTCAATTGACTCTACGTCATTTTCATATCAATTTCTTTATTTCAATTTAATGGCAATTGATTAGATCATTGTCAACTATTTCGATTCAGCCATTTACTTTCTTTCAATTTCAATTATGCCAATTTTAATTACGCAATTTTAGTTAGGCTTTCAATTCAATGGCAATTGATTAAATTCTTGCCATTGAATCGTAGTGACAATTGATTAAATTCTTGTCATTACTTGGCTGATGGCAATTGATTAAATTCTTGCTATCACGTTTCAGTGGTGATCGATTAAATTCTTGCCATTGTGTTTGGCTGATGGCGATTGATTAAGTTCTCGCCATCACGTTCGACCGGCGATCGATTAAGTTCTTGCCGCCTGTCTTCACTCGGCCATTCCATCCATTCAAACATTCATCAGCCGTTGCATTTCTTTAGACACTCTAAAAAGTCCTTGCTACAAACAAGGCATAAAAGAACCTTGCTGGGAGTTCTTACTAGTCTCTCTCCCACACAATCGCCTGAGAGTCAGCCATCGGAAAAAGGGATAGGCTGGTGTTCAATTACATATTTTGGGTATTTTGTACAAATACTCTGGCACGCCCGCGAAGAGTCCATCGACTGGCGTAGGGAACAAAAACCGCGCGAACACCTATATAAATAAATTGATAAATTCTATACAATGCAAATAAGGATATATATATATATATATATATATATATATATATATATATATATATATATATATATATATATATGAACACGATAATCTGCATAAATTTATAGCACAATATACACACACACACACACACATATATATATATATATATATATATATATATATATACTATATATATTTTAAAATTAAAGTATAAAGGGTGGGGCGGGTTGGATGTTTCTCAAAACCCATACCCATCCCGTAACGGGTTTAAAATCTAAATCCATACCCGCCTCTACGATACATAAACGGTTCTCATACCCATGTTTATTTCTTTCTTTATTCTTTTAATTGTTTCCCAACATATAATGTTGCATGTGATATGATATAAATAAATCTCTTGTATAGTTGATTCAATAGCCTTTTTTAGTACTTTGCGAAATGAAACTCTATCCTTTATTTGTCTAGCTATAAATTCTACAAGATGATTGGGGTTTCCGTAAGGTTTTGCATAAAGGGACTTTGAAGATGACGACAAGTGTTTTTTAAGCCCTTATTCATCTTTGAGATTAATTAATAGTCAAATAGTATTCGGATGAATGATAACTTAAAATTTTGAACTTATTTTGCTCTACAACTATAAATATACCGACCAAATTAATTTAGCACTTCTAACTACAAGTTACCGATGAATTATTTTAACTTTATTTTAGAACATTCTTTCTTCATTTGATTTCTAAATTATTTTTATTTCTCAGCTAAATTATTTTACTACCTCAAGATATGAATGAATTAAAATCACGTGCATTGCACGTGGTTCTAATTAGTATGTGTGTGTGTGTGTGTATATATATATATATATGAAAGTTGTAACAGTTCTAGACGAGGAATATATAGCCCTTTAAAGCTAGCTAGATTATATTAAAACCCTTATTAATGAATGTCAAATAATTCATATTACCGTAAAATGTACCAATAGATTAACATCAACGTCCAAACTATTTGGAATTAATCAGGCTAAGATCACACACAACAAATATTTAATCACAACAAAGAAAAAATAAGATAAAAATCACACATACAAACTTTTATTCAAGAAAAGAAAGGATTTCAACCCTCAATATTTCACTCATTCACTACAAGAAGACACACATCATACACCTCACTTATTTTCTTTTTGTTTCTTCCACCACCTCACACACACAGGCAACTTTCTGAAACAACCGTGAGCCACTTCAACACAAGCTATTAAGTAGACCTACTCCATGCACGTACAAGTAAAAACCAAACCCCACATAGACAGAAACAACAAATTCATGTCTATAGGGGTATGGGATCAATGAACAGAGAGATAATATGATCTTTCAACATTACTTCTGGATGAGTAAATCCATCGTTGCACTTGTAAATGCCATCAAACACGCGCGTAAGATTAACAACTCGCATGAGAAGGTTCATTGAGATGTTGTTTGGGTTGAGGAGGCATTCCTCATTGATATCCTTCCAAGCATTTTTAATCTTTTTGTAGAACTCATCAACTACCTCTTCTTTTGAAACTCTTGCATGTTGCTTCATGTAGCACTCAATCCCCGTGGCAACATGTCCCCTCTTTTGTTCTACCTTCAAATTTTAAAGATTCATCAATATATATATATATATATATATATATATATATTAAAGTATTGATTAATGTTCGATACATATAGCATAAATTATATGTTTGTATTATATAACTTGTGTTTCATCAATGTCTAATTAGTGATGTAAATTTATTATGATCAGATATATACCTCGCGGCTCATTATGTCATCTATGAGCCGGCCGACTGCGTTTGAAGCTATAAGAATTTTCGGTTTGGCTTGTAGCCAATCAAATGCCTCAGTCGTAGCAATTTCTCCCATGTCCATAAGGGATTGTATTGCGAGCAAATAGCAAGCGCCAGTGATCAATGCAATGTCCATATATTCATCAAATGATGGCACATATCCTTCGTTGAACCACTTTGCCTCAATATAGTAACTCCTTGCTACTTCTTTAAACTGGTCATGAGTTAAAACAAAATAAACCCAAGTTACTATTAGAATTTATGAGATATAATGAGTTTGTGTGGTTTACTTTGTAAGAACGATTTTCACTTTTCAGAGAACTAAAAATTATAAAAATGTACAAAAACGCTCAGGGACGGAGCTAGGGGGAGGGGGGGCTGCTCGCATTTGCTGCCTCCGTCTCTGAAAACGCTTGGTTGAAGTTTTATGAAAACTGGTCTATGAAAACATAGTTACTTTTAGAGAACTATTTTGATAAGACTAAACCCAATAGGCTCGTTTCCATCTAAAACATTGGGAAATTGAAGAAATGAAAACTAAAAAGAAAAAGAAAAAGAGAATATATAAATTGCATAAAAAAGCTTAGGAAAAAAAGCCATACTGCTTCTTTTGAATGATGAACACTATAAGTTCTTCCTTACTTTGTCATTTCCTTTTCTATGTCATCATAAAAATCTAGGAGCATCCTATAAAATATCTTCATGTAATCTGGGAGCTGATCGATGGCACTGATATCCCACCTACAAATTATTGAATTATTCAACACCAATATATATATATATATAGTTGATCAACAAAAATGCGCAAATCAACATTCTTCACTTCTCTTCTTTGATATTCTCGTAGAGAAGACAACCACAGGGAAACAAAAACATGAAGACTTGAAATGTTGGTACAAGCTAAATTTTGAAGGGTTTTATGAATTAAGACTCTAAGATTTATTTGCAATTATGCCATAATCTTTAATGTGAAACTCAAAAAACAAGAAAACACGAATTGCGTAAATCTAACCTTTGTATTGCATCTGTAAAAGGTTCGAGTTCTTCAAGTGTACCAAATGCATCATATGTATCATCCATAATTGTTTGCATAGCGACAGTTTTTGCGAGCATGATCCGTCCCATGGAATAACGCGGTTCAAAGTATATTGTCATAGCCCAAAAGTAGCACTCAACGATTCTGTCTCTTGTATAAGAAAGTTTTGACATAAATTCCAAGTCTTTCCACCACCTATTTTCAATACAACGCAATCCAATTTAGGCCAAATATTGTGCCCTCCTCTCTCTCTATGTTTATATGTGTGTTTTTATTGCCGAAGTCGTAACCGAAGCATAATAAAATAAAATAAAATAAAGTTGTTATAGATATAAGAAGATTTAGAAGATCAAAGAAACATGAAACACTTGGTAGCTTGAATTATACTTTCCTACATAATTGCTTTCTAATTCAACTTGTTCTCCATGAATGACTTCCCTAATTCATTCATAAATTCATGTATTTCCGACATATGTATATAGACATGAGACATAGAAATATATGTATAATAACGGAAAATTCTACAATATCCTCAGGTACCGTATCTTGGTTTTTAGCTATTGGATGTAATGGTGCGACACGCCTGATGGATGATCCAACGGCTGAGAGGCCACGAGGGCACGGTACCCTGGGATATTGTAGACTTCCTCGTATATAACATATTTTAGAAATCTATATTGTATTTCCAACATACAAATATCTATCTATATCTATATTACCTTGAGACGTGGCATAATTCTTGCTTGTGCATAGACTGTAATTGATTGAAGTCCAACTTTGCAAGCTTCAGCAACAATTCATTCTTAGAAACATCTTCCTGGTAAATAGAGATGTAATACCTTGTTTCTACTCTTGGGATGCCCATGTGAAGTGGTTGGTTTAGGGCATGCATCACTTGTTTTGCAAGAAAAGGGCTTAAATGGGTTACCATGGATTCAAGGTGAGTGATTGTGAAAGCAAGAGCCTCATCAAGAATGTCTTCTCCATGTATCCTTAAATGTGCAGCTTCATACAGGTTTAGCATACCCATTACATCGCTAGTAAGGTTTTCCTTGAATTCACCATTGCTGTCTTTAAATTTGTTGAAGATATCTGATTCAGATGCCCTTAACATATCAGTTATCTCTATGAACAACAAGTGTGATGTGAATGGGTGTATACGCTTTTATATGTATATGCAACGCCCGCTTTTGTATGTATCATGGTCAATCGCCAACAAGAATGCCGACTCAAATGAGATGTAACATACTTGGGGTGCGTGACTTATAGAAATGGTTATTGAACCAAAAATGAACTGATACACAATTTTTTTTCCCGGTAAGTACTGGTACACTATTTTTCACTGAATTTAAGTGATTTTAATTAAATTTTTGAAAACCATTTAAAGCAAATATTGACCTATCTATATATATTCATGTCAGGTACAACATGCAAAAAAAAAATAAATAAATAAAAAATAAAAATAAATAAATAAATTAGAAAATGATATAATTCAAGTCGAAAGTACAAGAAATTGGAAACTAAACTGAATTGATCACACCATTCAATCCTAAGGATTTGGCCTGCCTCGCTCACTTTCTGCTCTGACTGGCTTCTAGTGGAAATGTTTTGAACCAACTTCTATAGAACTTAATTAATTATCTTCCGTGCAAAAAAGTGGGAATTGGCCCGTTTGAAATCCCATACCCAAAAATAAATAAATAAATAAATAAAATAAAATAAAAACTGGGAATTGGCCCGTTTGTGAATCAGGGTCGACCTTTTTGACCACAGAACCGGCCAGTTCTTTGAAGAGCTTGAATTTTTAGAACGACTTACACAAAATACATTGCAAGTTTATGTATATGTATATATTTGATGAGGCACTAACCCGAAGACATGTTATAACCATGTTGACGGAATACTCGAAAGCTTATAGCAGCTGTGCACAAATCATTATCTTCCAAATCCGCTAGGGAATGAAAGATTTGCTCCAGCTGGTCTTCGATCTCTTTCTCAAAGTGATAGGAGATACCAAGGCGTTCGATTGTGTTGATCAAATTTATTTTCTCTACTGGTTTATTTTTTGCAGCTACTAGTATAATTTTCACTTCTTCTTTCAGCACTTCAATCTCTTTGGCATTCATTTCAAATACCTGAATAAGCAAATATATGCATGAAAGCAACTAAATATACTGTGGCATTGACTATAATTTCATTTATTTCAAAATAGTATTAAAAGAAAGTAAAGAATGTAAAATGAAGGAAAAAAAAGTATAGGATTTCTTTTTCAAGTCCATAAAAAAAATAATAAATAAATAAATAAAAAGAGAACTAGGGTCAGTTGGTGGCCGGTGATGGACGTGCGGTAGAGATGAAGGATTTTTTTTTTTTGCATGGTCGCGGAGATGAAGGTTGTGCGACTAGAAAGTGGCGCCAAGGACAGCTACTGTGCCATAATGAAAAAATAACACGAGTAACTAGCTAGAGTTTCCAAGTTCCCACAACCCAAGAAATCATGAAACACTTAAGACAACAAATTAATTAGAACAATCTAGATGAGTTGTAAAAGAGCGTTATAGGTTAAATAAACGTGGGACAGATATGTAATTAATTACCTGGTTATCTAAAGAGAATGAGAGGAAACGATCACCCCATATACTAGGGGGAAAGTTTGCTAATGGCCGAGATATCTCAGGCTGACAATTTATAGGATTGCTAACTTCAATGGAGGCCATTTGAGATGATATAGATTTTTCTCTTGACACTAAGGATCAAATATGTAGACTTCATACGACACATAGATGTATATATATAAAGATAAGAGGCAGTGGGCAACGGCCCCTCCTAAAATAGCTGTTTTACAAATAAGCCCATTTTTTTGTCCCCACCTACCAAGTGTTTTAATTTATTGCCTAAATAACTCGTCAATCTTTTAAAACAAAAATATAACTTATTTTATTATGGTGGGTGGTAGTGTAACACATTATTACTGCAGTTATACTAGTTCATGGCAGATTGGCAAATTTTTGGACCGTGTTGGATTTGAATTAGCATAGACATGCCAATGAATTTATAGTCTGTCCCCGTTAACCCGCTCGGGCATCGACCCAAAAAAAAATCAATTTGAGGCTTATTAATAAGCCACAATCCATTTCCTTTCGTGGTACCCTACACCTTACCCCAGGGGCAGTTGAATTTCCACTGCCTCCTTGAAAGAGACATGTCCTAAATCAATAGACGATAAAGCGCATATTTACAATAATACATACACACATGTATGATGTAGATTGTATAAATTCAAGTAAGGAATGAAGGAAAGAAAAAAAAAAAAACGTGTGCCTTGACATTTAATAAAAATTCATGGATCTATTTTTCTAAATATTTCTATTAGTTAGTGTTGATAAGAAAAAATTATCTTAAATTATATATTACAGTAAATATCTATTGGCAAAATGGTAAGTCTTTAGTGCACGCGAAAGAACAAAAAAACCAAAAGTGCAATGATACCACGGCAACTAAAATGTCAAAAACAGTTGTGGCTTGTTAAATAAAACGTAAATTATCCTTACTCTACTTTTTCTTAGGTTAAATTTACCTTTTTCTTCTCACTTACATTGATTTGTATTTCATTCACATTCCAAAAATTATTTTTAACGATTTTGACTTTTTACAAAATTTGTTTCATGTATAAAATGACTGAACTAGTACCAATAAGTCCATTTTAAATGACTAAATGTCTTAAAATTTAATTGCTTAGGGATTTAGGAAATTTATCTGCAAGAATTTGCTGTGGTTGTACATCATAGGAATTTAGAATATAGATTAGAAAAGAATTTATGTGTCCAGAATATATATTAGAGAGAGAGAGAGAGAGAGAGAGAGTAGAGTTTAGATTCCCAAATTTGAAAGCAAAAAAGGGTTATCCAGATCCTCCTCAATCAAGGATACATATGCAAAGAAAATATGATCTCCAAAATCAATATACGTATGCAAAGAAAATATGATCTCCAAAATCAAAGAAGCCTGTGTGTATATGTGTATATATGTAGATATATATGACCCTGTTGTAGAGTAGTGAGATTGAAATGGGCATAAATATCCTCATCCCCTTCTTTTCAATGCCCAGCCATCAGGTTGCCATTCAGGATCAAAGACCAATAACTAGACCACTGTGGCTATCCCGGGTTAAATCTCTCTTCCAACGACAAGAAACTAACTGTGCTGGAACTTCCCTTTTCAGTGAAGGTATTATTCTAGAAAATTGATTACACATCTCAACTCATACATTATACACATATTTGATGTTAATGATGATACATACCGAAGCTGCTTCCAAGGCAGCTGCCCAAGCTTCGGCCGGAATCCATGGTGGGTGACGGTTTTATTACGCAAATAGGGGAGATGAAAAAAAGAATAAATAAATAAATATAAAATGCGTTAGTTACATATATAGGAATATTTTTGTCATTTAAAGATATTTTACATTAAATTAAATTAAAAAATTAAGGTAATGACGTGGATGAATGAAGAAGAAGAAGAAGAAGAATTAAACGACAATAAGACACAAGTAAATAAAAGAGTTGGATAAACAAAGGGGGAAAGTCTAAAAATCACCCCTATAATTTTTAATTTGTGCGAATTACACCCTTATAGTTTAATTTGTTTATATAAATTCATACTAGATATAAAAATGTACAACTAAGCACCTTCGGTCAGAATTATAGTGAAAATTAGACGTCAGTTGGTCATGTGCCATGCACATGACCATTTTAAACCCTTTATTCTGAAATTGCCCTTCGTATATTCCTTTACTACCCCTCATCATATATATATATATTTGTATATATTTATATATATAACCCTAATCTTTCTCTCCATCTTAGTCTCTCGCCTCTCTTCCTTTTTCCTTCTTCCTCCTACAAACCCATTTGTATCTCTCACTCGATGCCTTTTGAGTTCTGAACCAGGTGATTCAACATTAAATGAAGACCTCTTTATTCTTATATATATATATATATATATATATATATATATACACTCTTTGTTTTTTATAATCACAATCTGTACCTCCAGATCAAATACTAAACTTCATCCCAACTTCTACTTTTAGTGAGTTCTACTCAGTTTAATCAAATAAAAAAGTTGAAACTAAAAGAAATGTCAAGATAGACACATACACATTGATTTCGTGGTGGGTTCGTGATTACCATTATGATTGAAATCGTAGTGGGTTCAATTGAGTAGTGGTAGGGGTGGTGAAAGTGATGGTGGTGGAAGTGCGAAGTTGGTTTTTGGGTTAATTTCGGGATTGCTTCCATGAATCCAAGGAGATGAAATTATGCGAATTGAGGAACCGAAACTCACCAAGTCACCAATGGGAGAATTCTTCTCAATTTCCAACTCAGACCCAGAAATCTGCAGGCTCTATTTTTGCACTTCTTTAATTGGCTCTCTCTGTTCCTGTTCATGCTATGGAAGTTTCTCTCTCAAAGAAGTGGGTTTGTGTAATGATCCGGTCATTTTCCTTCCTTTCCTTTTTTCTCAGATTTTCACGGATCTTTTTTTTTTTTTCCATTATCTTTTCTTTTCTGAGTTCGGTTTCATGCCACTTAGTGTCATCTTGAATGCTCGGAAATAGTTTCTGAGACTCTTTTCTTTAAATTGACAACTTCCTTTGAGGACCGTGTCATTTCCACATTTTCATTTTTCGGACACTATTCACCTTTCGTCATTTTCCCTATTTTGTCTTTTCTCCGCTTGTTACTTTGTTGGCATAACCACACTTTTAGTGTTCGGAGTTGGTTTTTGACTTCGCCTATCTTCATTCTAAGTGGTTTCCATGAAATACGTATCTTTACTTTTACATAAAGATACTCTGGTTGCTTTCGGTGTTCATAGGGGCATGGATGCACAGTTATTTAGAAAATTTTCTTTTCTTGGGTGTTTTTCATAAATATCTTTTGAAGATATTTTATTTTAGGGGTTTCTAAGAAAATATTTTTTGCATGATATTTTCATTTTGGGCTAGTTGTGCAGTTTTCACTTTTTGGAGGGGCATTGTGCAATTAATGAAAGTTATTCTAAATGCGTCGTTTTAAGCCTGAATCCTCGTACATGATCGGTTGATCAACTATACATCAACCTTCGCAATAGCACGAATCATTGTAAAATAGGGCTATTGGTCGGGTAAGTCGAACCACTGGGACTGCGCTAGTCTTAAGGCAACCTAAGTGTCTAAAGTCATTTTAGAGTGATAAGGGGTGTTCATAGAGGGTTTGTTTGTTGTCACTCAAATTAGGAATTCAAAGTGCATAAAATAATAGTGTTAGTAAATGAGAGTTAGAGATAATAAAAGGGGAAACTAGAGAAGTGAATCCACCTACGCCCTAAATACATGCTAAATCAAGACTAAATTGGGGATAAACACTATATAAGCAATGATCAAGAATTATGTAGCAACACATAGTTGCTTCATAACCAATAAGAAGTTCATGAGATTAAAACAAGAATGGTCTATCAAAAGACAACACATTTGGACTACCTAGACTAGGGTGTAGTATCAAATACATTAACTTAAGCAAAAGACCATCAAGCATTCAATCAAATGATGAAGCACATGAAGGTAAGAATCAAGCATAATCCATCAAAGGAAGTACCTAAGCAATGGAATATCAAGTTTCAAAATCAACATGCCTTGAAAACCATTCGTAGTTAATATCTTCATTGTCACTATGAAAATAAAAGCAATAAGACTAATGTAAGAATCATCAAGACAAGCTAAATAACTCACATCAATCATTTAAACATGAATATTCATTACAAGAAGTAATAAGCTCTTAAACTATGAAAAGACCAAAGTTTATACATTATAATCCCCAAAATAGAACCTAATCTAGAACATGAACAAAAGGGGAGGCTTCATCACCTCCCTAGATGAGGTTTAGTTACCCATGAGTGAGCTAGAAGAAGGAAGAAGCTTGCCCTTTTCCTCCATTTTCGAGCTCCCTTCCTTTTGCTCCAAGAACCCTCTTCTTCTTGCTCTCTTCTCTCTCCTCTATCTTGTAGAATATAGGATAATGATATGTGTGGCCTTCCTTGCCTTATCTCCTTCAACAAAGCTCTCTCTCTCCTCCAAAAAAAACATCCCCAACCACCTCATAAAGAAGTAAGTAGAAAATGAGGAAACCAATGCACAAGTGGCTGCCAAAATGAGAATTCCCGAAGGCAATTCTGCCCCAAATTCGAGCACTCTAAGCAAGGCCTCGAGCGCTCGAATTTAGTGTAAAAATGCCCATGCTTCACTTGCTCCGCCCAGACCTACTTTGGTTAAACAGCCATAACTTTGCGCTCCGAACTCCGAATGACAAACCGTTTAAAGATTTGGAGAGCTGATTCAGAGCTTTAAAAACTTCATGTTTTGATGAAGACCCAAATCTCAAGTCTGGTTGGTCGAAAACGGAGAGAAAGGCAGTACTTCAGTGCTGCCAGGCAGTTCTGCGCACCTCTGGTAACAAGGCCATAACTCTCTGCTCCGAGCTCCGAATGATGAACCGTTTGAAGATTTAGAAAGCTAATTCAGAGCTCTAAATCTTTCATGTTATGATGGAAGTCCAGTTCTCGAGCTTTCTGGGTCAAAATGGCGAGCAAAGTCCTAACTCCACTGCTGATCTCGTGAAGCAATCTGCCCTAATTTCGAGCACTCGAAATTAGGCCTTGAGCACTCGAAAATTGGCCAGAATGCCCTATGCTTGGTTTGCTCATCCCGGACCTACTTTGGTAAAACG